CATTAGTAGTCATCGCTCTATCGATAATTCCATCGGTAATCACCTATCTAACTATGATTTCCATTACTCATCCATATAAGTTTATTAGTCCAAAGACCGTAATATACTTGATCTAAATATGTTCTGAAGGTGCTGTGAAATTAGTTGATGATGGTTACAGACCCTTTTTTCAAATCAGAAGGTGATTTAGCAATTTTTCTGCACTTACTTATAGTCGTAATATGAAGTGCTGTAATAAAGATTGGTTCTGTCGTTGTCGTTGTGACGGTGTTTCCCTCGTCTTGTGCTGCCACTAAAACACCCTTGTATTTTGAAAGGTAGGAAAGCAATTGAGAGAAACGTACCTGTTGCCATCTTCTTCAAGGGCTTTTCGCAGCTTCTCGCGTCGATACTTCTTCCATAAGTAGTACTCATAATCCTCATCGTCATCGATATCATACCATGCAGGATCTTTTTTGGAACTTCTCTACAATCAGCTTCTCTAAACTTTTGATAAGTTTGAAAATAAAAGAAATAACTTCTTTTGAAGGGCAAAATTCTGATAGCATTCCGTTTCTAAACTACTCATGAAATTGATAAAAATCGTATTACTTTACTGATAGGTGTTGCTTTTTGTGAAAGCAGCAGTGCTTCTTTCTCAGTATGATCCTTCAGCTCCTTTTTGTAGGACTGTATCGTAAAAGGCTTGGAACAACCTTGCAGCGATGGTCTTTTCCGACACAGCCATTCTTGAATGAGACGCACCTCATACTCGTGCTTTTTCCAGCTTCAGTTCAAGCACTCACCGTGGAATAACCTCCTTTCCTCAAAGTCATCAAGTCCGTTGACGAACAGCGCACTGTACAGAAGAAGTAAAGCAATTTGAGATCTCATCTGAAAGCGGATTCCATGGAATTCTACCTTGACACCATACCATGAATATTATGAATATAATAGGATAAAAGTGCACAACGTGACGGTGTCAGGCTACCTTCATCCAATACGAGGGGGGGGGGTCTTTCAGGGCAAGCCGCGCTTTTGAAAACGGTTTCTTGCATATTGTAGGGACGCATGTAGGGAACACAAAACCATGTTTCATTTTCGCTGAACGGTTTTAGCAGTACCAAAAAAGAAGCAAGGTACTGTTAATGGTTCGATCCCCGTGGCGACTAAATTTTGCATTTTGTTTTCGCCTATTAGGTTTGTGCCGAGCCTTGCTAAATCAAGTTGAATCAAACTAATCTATTTATTATTATCTTGATTACGATGTTTAAACCGAAATTTTAACGATATTCTTCAATTTTTGCATATATTTGAAAGGGGTGGTGAGCAAAGAAGTCGTTTAGTCTCCGTTTCGCACGTGACCCTTAGACGGAGACTAAACAAAACAAGTAAAGTTTCCTCCCTCTGTGCTCATGCTGAAGCCCAAAGTAGCCCCAACCTTGAATGCAAAATTTAGTCGCCATGGGAGATCGAACCATTTTAGAGAAGCGTTCACTGCTTTTTTGGAACTATTACAACGGTTCAGCGAAAGTGAAGCATGGTTTTGTGGTACATCGGTCCTACAATATGCAGAGAGCTGTTATGAAAAAGTGTGGCTTGCCCCGAAAGACCCTCCTTCTCGGAGCAGCGCTGAGTTTATCAAAGAAATAAGCAGGCGAGGTAAGTGGATTGATGTGACGGTTGAGGTACTACGTGGCCAGGATCAATTGTTCGTCCAGCCACTTCATGGGAGATCGTAATTGCGATTTGACGGGGAGGGGGAGGTGTTCGGGACTTATCGAAATCGTTAGCGCAATCGCAATATACGGGTGCATCCTCCAGGACTAAGCCTAGGATGGGGCAGGAATTCCACGGCATGATCCATTTACGAGGTAAGCAAACCAGCCCTTTTGGCCGCTTTGCTGGCTGGGCCGTATGCTGAATGTTGGGGAGGGGATGGGGTCCTCCGAGGTCGACGGACTACTTGAACTCGGTCGGTACGGTAGGAGAGTGATGACGAAGTGGTGCAGCTAGGTCCAGCAGCTCCGCCAAAAGGGCTGGTTTGCTTACCCCAGGACTAAGCCTTGGAGAGAAGGCGGACCTGCGAGGCAGCGCAAGGTCCCGTCCTCTCCCAACCGGCCTCAGTCCTGGCTGTAAGCATCAAAGCCGAGGCGGCTTTTAAAGAACCGAGTTGACCGAATCCCGTCGACCGTCGGACCCATCCCTGCCCCCCCCCGAAATTCAGCATAGGCCCCAGCAGAATCGCCAAACGGGCTGGTTTGCTTACTTCATCATTTACGCACTCTCGAGTCGCTCCTCCCCCGCCTAATGGTAAGGCTTGTTTGTTTAATGGACAGGAAGTGTTTTTAAACGGCGATCTAAATGCATTTCTCAGACCAAATGCTTCGTATCTTGCCAGACCCGCTAGCCAATTTTTCAAACTCTGAGAGGTGAAGATGAGATTTGCGGAAGTGGAAGGGACTGTTTGTGACTTTATTCGGCAATCTTTGTGGACGTTTCTCAAATGAAACGTGAAATAGGCAAGGCTAGATCATTTTAGAAGCATGTGAGCATGTATCCGGTGGCAAAGAAGCGTGGATCGTCTCACATAAGAGCGTCTGGAGGGGTGGTTGTATCGAACCCCTTACGAGGGAGAGGTCTTAAATTCTTCGAAAACGACGAACGCAACGGTTGACCTTGCACATGGGCGACTCGACAGTAAAGAAAAAAGCAAATCAAACGGCCGATAAAACTCGGAAGACTGTGCACAGAAGAGCTCACACACAGGTACACGAACAAAGACGATGTCAGCAGAAGAAAATCTGATGATCTTGATCTTCATAGTGCCACTTCTTGCATGAGAACGTGCAAACATGATACAAGTAATGTGTACAAAGAGACGCAGTGGAAAAGAAAATAAATTTATAGCAACGATGCTGAGGTAAATGGTAAGTCAGAATATAGAGAAAACCTAAAAGCAACAGGCGCAAAGTGTATGTCGACTTCAAAATATTGATCAGCCTCTAGAAGAAATTGAAACCCTGAATGAACCGTGTGGCCGAACTGACAATATACAAAATCACCTGATCAGTTTAAAATATTGTGCCGGTAAACCAAGTAAACCGGTTTACAATGTGAACCTACGCTCGAACTTTGAGCTCTGAAAAAATAGCCACTACGTTGGAAATTGTCGACTTCCCTTAAAAAGCAGATTATCGTGAACTGAAGTGCATTCGAATGTTCTGGTCATCAAAAACAGGAACTGCTCGAGAATGACCTTGGCTGACGTGAATTCGGCCATAATATGACACTGCTGTACCTCAAAAACCGATTGAAGTGCGTCATGATGAACTTCAAATAAGTGTAGAGGCTCTCCCTTAGTTTTAGTCTCGTCCTAATTTTGAAAGCAGTCATGGGTCCTTTTTCCTGACCCGATATAGAGTTTTCAAAGATGTCTTTATACTTTTGAAGCGCACTGTATAATTATGAAGACCTCGAATCGGCTCTCGCATTGCACTACGCCCTGACTTAATAGTGGATTTTACGATGGAAAGGCAGCCCATTGGAAATCAAGTTAGAGATGGTCAGAGATGCGCGAAAGAAGGAAAAGATCAGACTGGCTCAAAAATCGGGAATGGGATCCCTTTTTTGCCCATTGA